GCTGGATCTTAAGTCAACTTCCAGTCTTGCAGCTGACTACCTGAACGGTGAGTGCAGGCAGCTCTGTGGACGTACCGGGGGTACGTTGCTGATGCAGAGAATTGTTGCACTTAGCGTGGCTGGATGCTCTTGTTGAGAATGTGGATCTGATAATTTGTGATTTTCTTAGGGATCTTGGAGGAAAAGCATGATAGCAGGGCAGAGATTCAGTTCTGATACCGAAACATGAAATTGCTTAGGCTCAGCTTGCTCACAGGGCGTAATCAGATGCTTGCTGTGAGAATATTCTGGAATCTGCTGGTTTTGGAGGAATGTTTTCCTTTTTGTCGTTGCAAGAAATGAACACAAGCACTAAAGGTGAAGGATATTGGGCTGGGTTGTTACAGCCAGCTAACAAGGGAGGGAGGATCACCAAAGTTTCAGTGCAGAGAGACAGAAGGAGTAGTTAGTTACTCACCTATTCATATGCAATGTAGCAGAACAGTTGAGTTATCTGTTCAACTCATATAATGCAAGTTATTTGTCTGTACATGACATCTTCCTGTGATGGTTTGGTGCTAAACATCACCTTCGTGTCATTTGGCAGGAAAAAATTAGAATAGTGGGCCAAAATGAGTCAGCACAGTGTCTGCCCCTTGTGGAGACAGTGATGCTGCTGATCGTGCCACTTGCTGTGGTCACGGGAGTGCTGAGAGACTTCATGTGACCTGCTCTGTTTCTAACCAGCATAACTGTTTTGAAACGACATCCCAGGAACACCCAGGATGGAAGTGGGCAGCTTTTTGTTTATAGCAACAGCAAATACTCCCTGTAGTGCTGCATAACATGCCAGAAATAAGCCTCTTTGTTGTAGTTTACTTCCATAACTAAAGGATCTTTTAACCTGTAAAAATTCTATGCTGCCATTTTGGTACAACCCATTTCCAGGCTCCAGCAAGTTTTGTGCTGGCTTAAAGCTTTCAGACAGAGCTAAGTCGGGGAGGGGGGTGTGTGGGGAGTGGTTCTTCTGTTGTTGTTTTTAAGGAGGGGGGAGCATTAGAAACAGGGAAGGGTTCAGATGTAGAGAAAGTTCAGTATTTGGGAATTTGGTGTTGTATAAATATGGAAGGTGAGTGTCACTAGAACAAGTCTTTTGGGAAATTGATCTCTGTTGACTTGGCACAGGGCACTTCCATTGGCTTGCCATGAAATGCATGCTTACTCGTGGCTGGGAGACACTGCACACACCTTGTGCCTCACTCCTCCACCCCCTGAATGAGAAACAACCCCTTTGTGAGGAAAAAAGTTTTATCAGGCTTGCCCAATATGTGGAGAAATTCAGGATATGAAAATCACGGATTCTCCGTTTGCTATTAGAATTCCTTCTGTGGAGTTAATGCATTTGTCGTTGTTGTATTTGTGCATGGTACAAGTGACAACACTGCATAATACAGTGAGCAATAACAATTAGGTATTAACCACTTTCACATTAAACCTGCCACGTGCAACCATTCCCCAAGGCCCCATAGAGTGTTTTGGTTTTGCCCCATACTTTTTACTGTGTGAGATTTCAGATTTTTTATTGACTGTCTTTAGCTCCAACTAAATGGGAACAGTAAACCATCTCTCTGATCAAAATCTGGTTTAATTTGATTTTGTTGGTTAGCCTGTACCTCTGGCCTGGTATTGATTTTCTTTCTCTTTAATCCTACCTTACTGAAACAAGGAAAAAGCATTGAGGAGGTGCTATACCCACGCATATCACTCCAGGCCATATTTCCTTTTATTAGGTCAAACTCGCTCCGTGAATATCTCTTCCAAGTTGCAGAACAGATCCAGGGGCACAGGGGTGTCTGTGAATCTGTTAGGAAACACTGGTAGTTTCAGCTGGATGGTGATAATGGGTTTGAGCAGTTCTGGGTTCATTGCATTGCCAGGCTGCCCAGAAGGGCTGCACGTGTGTGTGGACGCTCGTCCCCTGGGCTGCAGAACACCTTCAGAAGAGCGCTGGAGATGGTGACCCAGACAGGACGGTCAGCAGCAGCCCTTCAGCACTTGCTCTCCCTGTGTGCAGTGTTAGCCATGTTTGGCCTCTATGGACTTTCTATGTAAATTAAAACTCTGTTTCCAGACAGCATTAAACTTTTTATATTATGAAATTTACCATGTAAAAAGATTTTCATATTTTTATTGAAATTGCTAAGGCATTTGGCCTTCCTTCTTTGTGATTTCAGTGTCTATTAAAGCATGAGTTCTCTCAGTGCCTCAATCTCTTGGTCTAGGAGGGTGTTGGGGAAGGGTGTTTGTTGGCTCACTGCTCTCTGCCAGCACTCAGCTGGCATCCCGTGGCAGAGTGTGGCAGACACTCGGCAGCTCTCAGCTCCCTCTGCAAACTTCCTCCCCTTTTTGTGCAGTGTAGTGTTCCTGTTAACTGTGCTCATTGGAAATTGCTTTTCCTTTTCCTAACAGGTGGTGGGAGCATCACTATTTGCTGGTCTCCGTCTTGTAGGCGGCAGCAAAAGGACGCAAAGGGCTGGGAGGAGCTCCAAGAGTTGCCCAGCTCCAGCCCTCCAGTGGAGAACCGGGTGCTGAAGGGATGACTCTCCTTGTACCAATGCCAGCTGGAACCTGCTGAGTTAACTCTCTTCCTTCTTCCCCCATGTGAAAGGTGCCCTTGTGCTTAGGGGAGATGTTGGGGACAGATGAAACTCAACATGCAAACCTGCACTGGGGCCGCAGGAGGCTCAGCCTCTGACAGCAGGCAGGAGCCACCGGCAGCGCTGGTTGTGCCACAGGGGGAGCCTGGGCTGGAGCTCTGCCAGGAGGAGCAGCTCCTGGGGGAGCGTCCCCTCCGGAGCGGGGCCGCAGTGGAGCCGCACCGGCTGGTCTGGAGTGGTTTGTGTGTGCAGGGCCGGGGTCAGTGGCTGCTCAGTGACGCTGCCGTGCGTGGCAGGATGCAGAGAGCGCACGCTGCAGCTGGCTGAGCGCGCACCACGCAAACCTTGTCCATATGGGGAAGAAGCAGCAGCAGGGGCTGCGTGCTGCCAGTGTTTTGAAAAGCCAAATAAAGGCAAATCCCGAATGCTAGAGAACTTAGGGAAGCAGAGGCTCACAGCCCCCCCTAAGAGGCTCCAGCACAGCCCTGGTCACTGCCAGCCAGCCCCGAGTCTGGAAGTGTGTCCATAGGCAGGGATTTCCGTACAGCCATTTATCTGTGGTGGGGGCAACATGGAATTTTCTTACCTGTGGATTTCTGCTCTCCCTTAGTTTGGCTCCTGGGAAAGGTGGGGCATGATGACTTTTCCAGGGAAAGAGGAGCCAGGGGTGGTGCAGGAAGGGTCACAAGTCATGTCTGGGGAAGAGGATGTGCCACGGGAACAATGAGTGTGGTGCTGAGGCCGAGGCTCAGACAGGAGTCTGCAGCTCCCCAGGAGGCAAAGGCCTGCCCTGGCCAGTGCTGGGCACCGGCAGGTACCACAGGAGAATTAAAATGCAGCAGCCACCCAGAAATGAAAAACGTGCAGCTGAGCTGCTTATGGGGTAAGAGTTGATCACAAGCGTGCCTTTGAAATTACACCTTTCTCTTGCCAGCCCTGGGGCAGCACTATTCACCAGAACTCCCAGGTGGGAATGCTGTGAGGTCCCACATCCAGGCCTGTTTCCATTTCAACAGTAAAATTCCACCCTCCTCTTGACAGGCCTGGAAACATTGTGGGGTAGTTTTTTCCTTCCAGTTTACCTGGTTTTACATTTGTGTGAGCATTTCAAACAGAGGAAAGCAGATGTGCTCTCTCTGCATAGCTGTGGAAAATATCTGGGGGAAAAAAATGAAAGCCAACACTCAGAAACCAGAAAGCAAATCAATATATTTAGAATACATCACATAAATACTTTAGTTCTACCTGAATTATGATTTTTGAGAACCCCAAAGTGAAAGTATTGTTACCTGGATGCTTTGTTCTTAGGGTGACGTTTTGCCACAGGATGAACTTCCATCACTATGGAAACCAGGAAAAAGCCAAATACAACACACAGAACCTGCCCTGGGTGATCCCACCCCTCTGTCCCAGAGCCTGGAGCCCCGGTAGAACTTGTCCCCGCCGCATAGCCCAGCACCCCGGAGCTACTATGGGAATTCTGCTCCTTGAGGACCAGCGTTCCAGGCTCCTCACAGCCTGGAGGGGCTCCACAGAATGTTCTACTTTGGAGGCTGAGTTCACCCTTCTTTCAATGCCCCTGGGCTCTCCCGCCTGCAGGCTCCTTCCATTTTTTTATGTTTTTAATGGCAGCTGATGGTCGAGCGTTACCTTAGGGACCAGCGGGGGCAGGCGGGGCTGAGCCCCGGCACGGCCGAGCCTCTCTCTTCCTCGTGGGGGTGCCAGGTCCTTATTAATTCCTGGCGTCCTCGTTACTTGTGACTGCGATGGAGGATACAGGAATGGCCTCACCAGAGGGCGGCACTGACCGCGGTGACAGCCTGGGATGGGGCCGGGAACGCGCCTATCCCTGTCTGGGCACCGCGGCTGCAGGGCCGGGGGCGGTTCCGTTCGCGGCTCCGACGGGGGCAGCGCGGAGGCGACAGCGACCCGCAGGAGAAGGGTTTTGCTCCAAAGGCTCAGGGGGTTCCAGCTCCCCCCGCCCGGCAGGGGCTGGTGCTGGCGGCGCCCCCGGCTCGGTGTGAGAGCGGGACCGGGCACTGCGGGACCCGGAACGGGCCGCCGCGCGCCTGGAGGGCGCCAGCACATCTCGCCGTGCGCTCCCGCGGGCCGGGCCGGGCCGGGGCGCGCAAGGCCCGAGCCAGGGCCGGGCGAGCGAACGGCGCGGCCGCCACCGTTACAGCGGCTCCGCCCCGCGCCGGGCCGTGACGTCACCACGCCGGCCGACGGGAGCGCGCGGGGTGGAGGGGAGGGGAGGGCCGGCCCGGCGGCGCGCTCTGATTGGCCGCTCACGGGTGAGGTGTGCGCTCGCGGGGGCTGCGCGCCCCGGGATTGGCGGCGGCCGGCGCACGCGCGGCCGGGCGCGATTGGCCGCGCGGGTGGGGGGGGCGGGGCCTGGCGCTGGAGCGGCGCGTGCGCGGAGCGACGGGAAGATGGTGCTGATCAAGGAGTTGTGAGTGGGGGCGGCGGGGGCAGCGCGGGGGGTCTGAGGGGACACCGGGGGGACACCGCGGGGACCCGACACCGCCCCCGCTACCGACACCGCCTCTGCCATCGCCCCCGCCCCTGCCATCGCCCCCGCCCCGCCCGGCCTTCCTCCCGGCCTTCCGCCCGCGCCGCTCCCCCTGGGCCGCGGGGCCGCTCCGCCCGCCCCGCTCCGGCCGGTCCGCACCGCGGGCACACGGCCCGGGCCGCCCCTGCGCGGAGTGGAAGCCGCGGCGCCGCCCCGGGGGCTCCTCGAGTTCCGTCCCTCGGGCCACGCCGTGCCCGGGCGGCGGTGCCGCGGGGAGCGCGGGGTCCCGCGGGATTGCTCCCCGTTTTCCTTGGAAAGCGGTTCGGGTGGCAGCGGCGGCCGTCCTGGAGCGGGGCCAGGGCCCTTCCCTGCTCGCAGCTCCCTGAACTGGCAGCGCCGGGAGTTTCTGGGGAGGTCTTCCCGTAAGGACTTTTGTAGGCAAACCACCAGCTGGTTTCCTCCTCCGTCTCACTCTTTGGCTTTAGATTGCTTAAAAGTCTAGTAACTGTAGTCTCAGTGGTAGTAAAGGTTCAAAAACTTAAACTAAGCACGACATAAAGTTATGGCAGAGGTTGTAGAAGTAGATCCCAAATTTCCTGACTGTTTTCTGCAGCTTCTAACATCCTCCACCCCTTGTTTTTCCTTTCATAATGTGTCTGCCATTGAACTTCACTTGGGTTTATTGCATTATACCCAAAGCCTCCCTGTCAACGTAGCATTTCTAAAGAGAAAACTTGAATTAGCTCCTTTTGACACTTTCTTGAATGCTTGTGTTACATTTTATGTCTGTCATCTGCAGATGAAGCCTAATGATTCATTTTGTTGAATTTGCTCTTTTCCAGCCGAGTGGTTTTACCTTGCTCAGTGCAAGAGGTACGTCCTGGTGCTCTCTGCTTTGTTTGGGCTCAGGGATGGGGTGGGGTTGTGTGGGGTCCAAATTGTCCCCTGTGCTGTGCCTGCTAGAGGGGACTGACACAGGCATGAGCCTCCTTCCTTCCCATCAGGGAATTTCCAGGGAGGCAAATGCAGCCCAGAGCCTTGAGCTGGTTTGTGAGCCCTCCGCTGTCACTTGTGCCACTGTGCCCTGTGGCAGCACTTTCCTGCTGATCAGGTACCGAGGGACTCCAAGCCCGTTCCTAAAGCCAAAAGTCAGAATTGTCCTCTCAGATGTGAAGCCAGCAGTTCAAATGGCACTGGGGTGCATTTAAAGGAGAGGCATGACAGGGGGTCTGAACACGCTCCTGCTTGTCCTGCAGCGTGCATTTCATGGGTCCTGGGAGGGCAGCATCTAGTTGGTTAAAAGTTTGAACTGGGAAGGCTTAGAGCTGGAAATCAGTCATTTCAAAACCTGTAAACTCAAAATACGTGTTTCTTTGATGAAATGAAGAACAAGAAATACACTTTGTTCTTAGGATGGAGAAAATGAAGCATAATGACTTTGGTGTGTTGCCAAAGTGTTGGGTTGTTGTGAAACAACCTGGATATAAACCTGGTGCTTGTGAGCTGCAGATAGGTGTTGTCATAAATATCTTTTATATGGTGCATTTTACTTCCCTGATAATTTTGTTTGTACTTCTGCATTTTTACTGGAAACAGGTAGGTTGTTTTATCTTTTAAAAGTTTTGGCCAACTTCAGTGATGACATTTGAATTCTCTTTTCAGTATCAAGTTGGGCAACTTTACTCTGTGGCAGAAGCTAGCAAAAATGAAACAGGAGGTGGAGAAGGCATTCAAGTCTTAAAAAACGAGCCTTATGAAAATGATGGAGAGAAGGGACAATATACTCACAAGATCTACCATTTAAAGAGGTGAGGAAAACGTTTGATGCACATTGTAGTCACTTTGGTGTGAGGGCAGCCTTCCATTGTCTGCCATTCTAGGACACTTGCTTGTGTCTTTCTGCCACTCTAATTTGCTGAGTTGTGCACAAATGCTCTGGTGAGTGGGAAAACATGTGAAATATGGTGGATTTTAAATACATGTGATGGAGCATTACTTGTGTGGGACAGCTGAAGGAATTGTGTTTGCTTGCTCTAGACAGAGAGGAGTCAAAGATGAGTGGAACATGAGGTTCCTGCCTTAATTATCAGCTGGTTTTTTTTCCTTGGATCAAGAAGAAAAAAGGCCAGGAACTTACTCACCATCCTTGGGGAAAAACTGAGGCTGGAACACTTACCTAGATTGATCTTTGTCTGTCCCTTACGCTTGTGTGTACATGAAGTTTGTTTAAAGTTGCCTCCTTTAAGGACACCACCCTCGAGCATTCTTTTGGGTAACACCAAATTTCTCTTGTATCAGATTTTGTTACTTTTCTCCCCACTGTTCAATTCTTGGTCCCTGTCGGGGCACTCTGTTGGTCTAGAGAGGGCAGTTATTGTCAGGGGTGGTAATTCAGTTGTTCTTGGAGAGCTGCAAGTCTCCTCTTCAGGCACAGTTGCAGACCCGGCAGGGCTCCCCCTGGGCTGCGGGTCAGGAGCTGGAGGGGAGGGCTCTGCCCAGTGCTCTCCCTCAGCAGGTGTCTTTGCTGCTCTGGAAGAGGAAAGACAGCACAGCTTTCATCAGGATCGCAAAGCTCATGCTTGTTTACCTTATGATTACCTTAACCATTTTTTTCTTCATGATGTTGCGATCAGGAGGGGTTTTGGAGTTTCTGGGTATTTCACTGCATGTGCATCATAACACTTCAAATGCTTGGGTAGCATGTGCCCTTCTTTTTGGAGCGGAAGAAGCCAATGAGGAACTTCAGCTGACAGAATTTTTAAATGTTGTCCTTGTTTGTTTTTCCCAGTAAAGTCCCTGGCTTTGTAAGGATGATTGCTCCAGAAGGCTCCCTGGTGTTCCACGAGAAAGCCTGGAATGCATATCCCTACTGTAGAACAAGTAGGTCTCCCCTTGTGTGTTCTGCTGTTGGTGTTCAGTGAAGGGATGGGCTGAAGTGGTTTAGAAGAGCAGGGTCACTGAGAGGAAGATGCATTTCAGATGTTCCTGCTGTGTGTGTGGAGTCTCCTCTGGAAAGGAGAGCTGCTCCTGGGGCTGCTCAGGTCCAGGGGCCTGCAGAGACCTGGCATCCAGTGTCCTGGGGTGGGGGTGAGGAGAGGATTCCCTTCAGGGCAAGGACAGAGCCTATGTGAGAATCACTGTATTTTCATAGTCTGTTAGAGCTGACTACTGGGTTTGAATGTAGTAATTGTAATTTCTAAGAGTAGGCTGGGAGTAGTTTATGTCTGTTTCTGTTGAATAATTTGAAGTGTCCTGGAAGGAACTCCCAAGGTTAAGGCCATCAAGTCAAAGTCTGCTGAGCTCTGTGTGATGCCCACAGCTGCTGTTCACGCTGACTCTGTTGTACTGGGGAGCAGTTATATGCTAGACCTTTCAGAAACAATTGTATCTAATATGATTCTTTTTTTTCCTTTTCATTGCACGGTTTTCCAACGACCAGTTGTGACAGTGAGTATTTGAATTTCTACCAGTCCTATGTGGGGTTTTTTTGAGATAATATTTTGTCTGCTATTACCACTACAGTTCTCTGGCCCCAGCCTGTCATATGTGCCTTGCTAGGGCTCCTGGCATAGAGCTCCCTGTTACTTTATTTGTCTGCACATGGCTATAATTAGAAAGAACTGTAATTTGTAAGAGAAATTATTTCATTTTTGCCATCTTCTTTTATGCCTTTACTTACAATTACAGCTGCATAATATCTGACCTGGTAAGACATAATGCTAAAAAGGGAGGGGAAAAAAAACCCAACGCACCAAATACCAGAAGAACAATTAAATGGAATCATTCCCTACCTGTCTGAAATGCCATTGCTGTCCTGCCTCAGTTAAAATGTGGTAACTGGGAATCTAAATGGATCAGCATAGCTCAGGGTTTGGGTTTGCTTTTTTAAGATGCACGGGAGGGACATCATTAAGACTTTAATGCCCAGGGTATATGTTTTAGTGGCCTGTGTGAGGACACTTACAAGTTAAATGTTAAACTGCTTTATCTGCTCATTTGCAAACGTGGTTTAGATTGTTACCAGGTAGACGCAACACAAGTGAGTTTGAACTCTTGAGCTTGACTCATGATACTTGTGCACACAGGTCTGTGCTTTCTGACTTCTGGGCTCAGCAGGGTTCTGTGACAGCCTTTAGATATTCAGTTTAGTGGTGACTGGACCTTTATGATCATTATTCTGCTGTGCAGTAACATCTAACTGCAGTATTAGTAATCTGAAAATTACTTGAACATAGAGGTAAAGAACTTCAGGGTGGAGGAACCAGGACAGCAAATGGCAGGGGTATTTCTATTGGTGTGCACAGCTAGAGCTGGATTTCTCAAACATACTGCCCCATCTTAAGATTATCGTGTACCTATTTCTGTTTGTAGGTGAGGGGGCTGTTTCTCTGATAAATTAAAGAGGTTCATTTGTTAGTCAAGGCTTAATAGTGGCTTGTATGTAGATACCATTTCTCTAAACTTCAGGCACAGAGGTGTAATCAGACTCATGCTTTTTGCTTTTAATTCTTACAGAATGAATACATGAAAGACAACTTCTTCATAAAAATTGAGACCTGGCATAAACCAGATTTGGGGACAACAGAGAATGTGAGTTGGGGTTTGGATCCTAGACCTTAGTGCAACTGTACAGTTAGTACAGATAAAGTATTCTATACCTGGTAATGGTGGATAATTACTGCATAAAGTCAATGCCTGACCAGTAAGCAGAGCGAGAAAAACATTATTCAGGTCCTTGCGAGGTGGTCAAGCTGTCTCACCTAAGGAGATGCAAGGACAAGAGAAGGTTTTTGGTTTTTAAGGTGAGGTCAGTGCAGATGCTTGATTCTCACACAAATATTTAAATAACTTTTCAGCAAGTTCTTTGACATGCTAGTGATAGTTAGTGTGACAAGTTTTACAACAGGTTTCACGAGACCATTGGAGCTGATCTGTGTACAGTCTGCAGTTAGATATTGAAGCTGCCTTTGTACATTGTCCCAGCTGGCAATATTCTCATTTTCCTCCCCAGACAGTTGATTTGATTCACGGGTCACATCAGGGTAATTTTGATCTGTAGTGACAAACATTTATAAACCATCCACAGAATTGCCAGTCTGTTTCCAGTGCTTGGATGAACTGTAGCTCTGGATGTGCTGCACGGAAGGGGAGTGTTCCTTGGGCAGCTCTGCTTGCTGTAACTAAGTTTAGGTGTGTTGGACAGACTACAGGTGTGGAGCTGATTTCATCCTGAGACCTTTGCACACCCTCAGACCACACACACTTCACCTGGTCCACATTCAAGGCAGCCCTATGGTTCAGGGAGCCTTTGAGATCAGTCAGGTTATTGAAACATGCATATTTGCACTTGGAATTTGTACGGCTTCTTTCTAGCTCAGAAAGCTCATGCAGATTATGGAACGGGTAATGGCTCTAATTAGAGCTTGATTTCATTAGTGCTAACAAATGTGGCAGATGAATACAGCTTAATTTTAAATCCAGGTTTCCTGAATGCACAAAAAGCGAAGGCTTTGTGCTGGTTTAAAATCGATTAGCGAGTGAATTAAACTGTAGCTGTGGAGATCATTCCCTTTGAGAAAGGCAGAGGAAAAAAGGGTAGGTTTGGAGAGCGCTACCTTTATGTAATTCTGAAAATCTCCATGGCACTCACATGTGCTGCACAAGGGGCACCACTGTGTAACGTGCCAGGAATCATTCCTTTTTCTCTTTTTGCAGGTGCACAATTTAGATCCCAACACGTGGAGGAGTGTTGAAGTTGTCCATATTGATATTGCAGATAGAACTCAAGTAGAACCAGGAGTAAGTAAATGCTCTTCTACTGGGATACAGATGCAGCTTGCAGCTGATTGCACTGGTGGTTAGTGTTGATTGTGAATAAGTTAAAGTGGTGTGAAATTTCACCCAACAGAGATGTGAAAAGTATCTTAAACAGAATCATTCATTTATGTCCCTCCCTTACTTCCTTGGTTTTAGTGCTGATGCTTTCTGCACATCTGGATCTGCTGGGGCTGTTGTCTGGTTTGTTTAATTGTAACAGTTGGACTGTTCCATGTGTAATAATTTTTGGACAGTAGAGGAATGGTAGGCACTAATATGGAGAGTATCAAAACCATGAGTCCAGAGCGGGCTCATCCAAATCTCTTCTGATGTTACCACATTCTGTTTCCTTTTTATTAACTTCTAACACCATTTCCACTTTTAGCAGATATTTTGAGGAGGTATTTTCAGATTCAAACTCACAGTGTAGCCCGTCCTTGTGTAGAAATACTTGGGATTAGTTTTCACCATGTGATTCAAATTTTCATTTCCATTTCATCTCCCAGAAACTGAGTTTTGCAAAATCCTGACTTCACTAACCAAAGCCCGGCTTTGTGCTCAGACTCTTAGCAGACTCTGGTAACTCTGAGTTACCTGCAGACTCACCCCCCTGCCATTCACCTGTTTGTCCCTTCTGGGATTAGACAGCAGGAATTCTCTGGGTCCCACACTTAGAACCTCTTCTGGCCTGAAAATTTGCATTTTCTGGCCTTTATCTTCTCAGGACTCCAAGGGAGAGACTTTCCATTTATGCTGAGATATCTTGATCAATTTTAGGTAATGGAACTTGAATTTAGATAGTGTTTTTTTGTTTGTTTGTTTGTTTGTTTTGTTTTGTTTTTTTAACTTCAGCTACATTATAGTAACAAAATTGCCCTGATTGACATGCTGGCTTTGTGCCTTCTGAGAAGGCTGCTGGCCTTGGAAAGTGAATGTACCCTATGAAACCATCACCTGTTTTCCCTGTGTTCTGTTTGTCTAGAGGTTCTTTTCCTGCTGTTTCTTTATCTTTGTTTGATGATATTCGAGCAATCACCAGTTCACTCAGTGGGGTAATATCTGAAATCATGTGCTTTGTATGGTTTGGGGGTTTTTTGTTATGATGCTTGTTTGGGAACTGTCATTCTTAGTGACTGGGTGGGTCTTTTGATCTGCTCCTTTTTTTAGGGAAAAGCAATAATCAGTGTTGCTAAATAAAAGTTTTATTTGTACATTTATCTTCTCAGACATTGTTTTGCCTGGAAAAGCAGCTCAAATGTACGACCTTGGGTAACAGTAGGACTGAAAGAATGAGCTACATTTAAAATCTAGCAATTTTGATAAAAGTTTGCATATATTCAAGATGTATCTTTTTGTTCAGTGAGTGAACATTGTCCACCCTGCTGCAGTGTAGTTTCAGAGCTACAATTGGCATAAATATAAAAATAGTAAATTTCTTTGAGCTACTAATGGCATGCATATGCTAACTCATGCTCATTAAAGTATGTATAGAAATAATTTGGCTGACATCTGTGACTTACTTTCGATAAAAATTTAACCCTGCCCATTCTTAATCATCTCCAGCGTCCGGTCCATGTCACTTTATGTGATTTGTATATAAAAACTACTTCCCAGGAGAGAAAGACTTTTTAAAGAGTAAGCAAAAGTGAACCCTCAATTAACATCAGAAGAGGCTGTGGTTTTGGAAACAATTTGTAGGAAAGCAGAGTGTAGCGAAAAGAAATTGAAATCAGATTTATAGCTATTTTTGTACAACGAAGAAATTAAACATCTTGTTCTAGGTCGCTGTGGATCTTCATTGTATTACTTGAAAGAAAGTTGTAGAACTACAATTTTGTGCTCTAATTAGTCAGATTACTTTACACATGCCACAAGAGTTCAGATTTCTGTGTGCTATCTATCCCTTGTTCTTCAGTTTGAGGAAGTGTACTGGAAATGCTCTTCTGTAGTCTGTAAGGAAGTGTTAAAAGATTCTTGAGATAAAGAGTTTGGTGGGTGGATCTCTTCCATTTCAAACTTAATTTATGATGTGAAAGGCACCTAAAAACTACATGTTATTAATCCTGAAACTTTGAATCATTATATTATGACACATCCCATGGAACAGCCTATCAGTGTATAAATCAGATGTACTTTTAGCTTACTAGTGTTTTCCTCTCCTCTTTATGTTTTCCATCCCTAAGTAAGGCTTTTTCATCCTGTCCTGGGTGTTTATAAATCTCTGTGTCTTCCAGCCTCCTTTCTGGAGACCTTTTAACTTCTCGTTCCGAGCGCGGCACCACCACGTGCATCCACGATGAGATAACCAGGCTGGGTTCGTTTCTCCTTTAAACCTTGGCGTTCTTTCAAAGATGATTTCAGAGAATGGTTTCCCTGATAGCTGTGCTGTAGCTGCAGGACTCTTCAGGAGATGGGAATGACTACAAGACATTTTTGATTAAAAGCCTTTCAGCCAAGCCTACCCAAAACACACGGCTGCATGTCAGTGAAGTGCACACTAGTGCTGGTGGCTGTTTCAGTTATGAGACTTGGGAATCTGACTTGGAAATATGACATACTTGGATAAACCTGATTTTGAACTTCTGTTATGCTGTGAATGAGCACTCACAGAGCTGTGGATCATGTTGAGGGGAAATGCTGGTAGGTGTTCCCTTCCACAGGGACCGTGTGAGAGTTTTCTGCTCAATAACACCAGCAGTAAGTATGTTCTCACATTTAAAACACTAACGCAATACTGAGCTGAAAAGCTGGACTTTGTGTCCACCTGCCTAGTTAGTGTGATGCCACTGTGTGTTCAGGAAGTGCTTTTCATGGATTTGCAGATCAGGCACCAGACTTGTATAACTTTTATGTTAGGTTCAGAAAGTTTTCTTAAAATCATTCTGTCCTGTACATAAGTTTTCACTTTTTATACTTCTTGATAGTGAACTGTGAGCTCTCAGGATTATTATTACCACTCTGAGCAGGGCTCAAAACTGAGAATGAGAATTGTAAAGAAGCATCCAGGTTCTGGGTTTGTTAGAATGTTTATTTTATGAGGTTTATGATCTCTCTAAATAATTCTTTTCAGTAGATTGTTGCATTCATGCATATTATGTTGAGAATTTGAGCAGAAACTGCCTGTGAAATTATACTTGTGCATTTCTTTGAAATGGTTTTAGCTCCTCTATCTTGTTATGCTGCTGCATGCTGATGTTTGCCTGTCTGGCTTTCCAGAGGGCTTCGGGGTTTGAGCTGTAATATTTGCTCCAGCAGCTGCCTGCTTTTCTTCCTAAGAAGGACTTGCTGTTGTCAGGAGTTAAGCTCTTGCTGCACAGATATTTTCCTTAAACTCTGCAAAGAACTGTTGTTTATTTGTACTTTGGCTCTAGTCCAGTCTTCTTCCCTGCGTGCTGGTAGGGTTTGTGTGTGGAGAAGAGTTCCTACAATGCTGTCCTGTCCATCTGGGCTTTAGTCTATACAGGGATTTGTCTGTCCTTAACAGGGTTTGGGTTAATTGAGTTCTGAAAGGTCTTGTTCAATACTTCTGTCTATAGCATAGAAAACTTTACCATGACTCATCTAATTTCTTTGAACTTTTGTTTTCACTCCTACATTTTACTCCTAGATAACATTTTGTTCCCCAGTGTTTCCAGCTCTGGTTATTTATGTGTGGGTCCCAAATGCAAGAACAAGCTGCTTTTTACCAATGTCCCTGTGCAGTGGGAGGTGGGATGGCAGGTAACAGCATCGTGTGGGCTTGGATGTCCCTGGAGTATCCAGACAAATCATCTCACAACATAAACCAGGTAGATGAAGGTTGCCACATGTAGGTGAGTTTAAATGCCACATGCCCCACACCACTATGGTGTGAGCTCTGCCTTGGCAGGGTATTCACACAGTGAAAATAAATTCAGGGTTGTCTCAATGCAGTACCTGTTTTTATTTACAAAACTGGCACTAAGATGTGGATTCTTGTATTTCTGTTTAGCACATCACTGCCCTAAAACAGCAGCAACAGTTGTGCCAGCAATTAGTTATCTAGAGCAAAATTGTTTATCCATTACTATAGCTTGATCCTTTTCCATGTCTTCCATCCAGGGGTTGAGTGCAATTTTTAAAAGGCAGTCATGATCAGTAATTTAAAACATTCAATTTATTTTTATAAAAACCCTCTGCTGTAGTATTTGCATAGATTTCCTAGAGGTGATTTATATGTAAAAAAACCGCCTCTTTTTCTACCCAAGGCTTGTTATAAAAAAAGTGTATCACGTTGAGTCTTCCAGGACATGCAGAACCTGAGATTCCAGTGGGTTGCATCTGTCCTCTCCCATAGTATTTGGAAATAACTCATGAGAAGAGAAGTCTGCAGCTGGTGGCAAGTCCTGTGAGCTGTGTGGCTCCCTGGCTCCCTGCTGGGCTCCCAGAGGAGCCAGTCTTGGACACAGCCAGTGGCTCCAGCTCACTGTAGTGAGCACTCACAGAGTGCTGTGCTCACTGCTGAGCTGAGGCAGGGCTGGATATCGTGTGCTGCTGTGTATCTGCTCTTTTTGATGTCTGTGAAAAGGAAATGTGCTGTACTGCAGTAAAATCATAACTAGGTGGGGTTTACTGAAATTCAGGTGACAAATATGTCTGTTAGTCTTTCTGCAATTACAGTAACTCGAGTGGACTTTAAATGTTTCAGTGTTACTGAATTTCAGTGTTGCTGTGCGGGTTCCTCGGGCTGTTCCCTGGGGCAGGCGAAGGGTTGGGGAGCACTGTGGCAGCCCCTGCTGAGGCTGGCTGGCTCAAATGTGGGCTCTTCAAATAAAACACGTTGTTTCAGTTAAGAGGGAGAACTAGAGGGAGCTCCTGGTTTGTGGAAGTTCATAAAACCTTGATTAGCAACGTGATTGGAATGTCTTGACTCACTTGGCTGCTTCTAGGAAATATTTGTTCCAGTTCCTAAATTTTGATTGTGTATGTTTGAACTCTCCATATGGAAGTTTGAATAGCTAGTAATGCTTTCTAGATATATTAATTACAGAACGGCTGGAAAAATCTATTACAAGGTTTCTTCAGCCTCCTTTAATACACAGGTAGGTAGGTGTGTTAAAAGAACTGGAACAATGAAAGAAAAATGGGGAGAAGAAAGTGTAACAGCTGATTTTCTGTAAGTGAAGTTAGATTCCTCTGAGAGGACCTCCTGTATTTTCCAGTTCCATCTGCTTGCAAAAGGTGGTTATAAATGTCAGAATGGCTGTGAAAGCATTAACAGCTGATATGTGTAGCCTGGCTTTGTGGATTCGGAATTTCAGTCTGGAAGTAGGCTTTGTTCCTTCCTCTCTGCTGATGGAAGAATCTGGAGCTGAAAAGTGATGTGGTCCACGTGGTCTTCAGCTTCTTCTCTTGCAGGTGTTTCTTTCACTCTGTGATCTGCAGATCTTGTCCTTGTTGAAACTTTATTTAAAAATGAAACCTTAAACTCTGCTAAAGTTTGTCTTTCCTGTATCACCCACCAAGCATTTGTTCTGCTTTGAAGCAACTTAAGTTGTTACATTTCTCCTGAGTTGCATGGGTGTAGTGGTTAATCTTGGGTGGATGTTTTTCATACACTGTATAAACCTCATTTCTGAATCCTTGCTTTCTCCTCCCCTCAGAGGTCACAGACCCGGGGGGACAGTGCTGATGGCACAATGTGCACAGCACAGGGCAGCTCTGGCCCAGAGCAGTCCTGGAGAGCTGTCGTGGTGCCAGCAGGCTGGGAGCACCATGGGGGACACGGGCAGTGAGCAGGTGTGATGAGCCAGGGTCAGCCTGTGCTCCAGCCATCCTGCTCCACAGCACTCAGGGAATCGCTTTGGCAGTCGTGGGCAGAAGCTTCATGCGGTGGGACATTGAATCTGGTGGAGTTTTCTTACTGTAAGGGTGTTTTATGTTACAGGACTACAAAGCTGATGAAGATCCTGCATTATTCCAGTCAGTTAAGACGAAGAGAGGACCTCTGGGGCCAAATTGGAAGGTACGGGGAATGGGTGTTAGAGCCTTCTGAAGTCTTTATCAGCAGAAAAACAGAGTTCATGGTTCCTTCAGAACCTTGCTCAACTCCAGTTCAGGAAGAAATTCAGGCCCAGCACATCCTCCGTGGACCCCAGTGACATCCCAGCAGCAGCACAAAGCTTGCCAGTACCCCTTGCCCCTGCCAGCCATCAGAATCCATGTGCATGCCATCCCAAGAGGGAAGAGATTGTGTGTGCCACACCAGAGATCTGAGCAGCTCACTGCTGTGCTCTGGGGTGAATCACAGGCAGTCTGTCAGGAACAGCCCCTAGTTACTGATTAGAATTACTTTTTCTGTAATAATACTTAGAATTATATTTTATAATTATTATAACACAGTTAAATTCCATTAATTTACTATAAATTAATTATATTTTAATAATTCTATTCCATTAATTAAAATTATAATTTCTAATAATTAAAGTAAATTTTTAAAAATTTAAAACTTCTTTCCCGTTGTCCCCAAATAGAAAGAGCTAGCAACTGATGAGGAGTGTCCCAAAATGTGTGCTTACAAGTTGGTGACCATCAAATTTAAGTGGTGGGGACTGCAGAACAAAGTCGAAAACTTTATACAAAAGGTGAGTGCTCCTGCCTTGTGTGGTAGGGGGGGCTGTGTTGATGTGGGGGTTGAGCAGAAACAGTGATGCAGTTTCCTGTCCATTCTCCCAGCCAGTCCAATGATTTGTGTCTTGCTCTCCTACAAATGGGGCTTCAGTGGTGGTTCCAGAACAACTCCCTAAGGGGAAAAAATCAAAGTCTTCAGGAAGTCCTTGTTCTGGTTTGTCAGCTGCCACCTTGGAGCAAAAATAGATTTTAAAAGGATCCTTCATCATTTTCAAGTAATGTCAAATGATGAACTTTCTTGAAACTTTTTTTTTATAGTGAAATTTGTTCATTTTTTCCATGCTAAAGCATGTGAGAAATGAGAGGATTTTAAATTGGATGGAGGGGGCTGAACCTGTAGCAGTGTGAAACAGCACGTTCCTGAAGATTGTAACTCTTCAGCAGGTGCAATCATTTCACCAGCCTTTGGCAAGTCCTAGGCCTATGATCTAATGCTTGTTTATCTTCTTAAAGCAAGAAAAAAGGATATTTACCAACTTCCATCGCCAGCTGTTCTGTTGGATTGACAAGTGGATTGAGCTGACTATGGAGGACATTAGGAGAATGGAGGATGAAACCCAGAGGGAGCTGGAAGCGGTAAGAAAACTTTTTTAAGGCTTAGATGTGGGTGCTTCGACCTGTAGATTTGTCTGTTTGGAACTGAGGCGAGTTGTGTTGTGTCCGTGCCCGTGTGTGTGTTTGGGCAATTGCTGATGAACGCTGTGGCCCCTTTGGTGATCCTCCTGTGCAGCCCCAGGTGCTTCAGGCTTCTGCAGCCTGTGCTGTCAAGCTGGAAGTGGCTGTAAGGGAAATATCTCTGGTGTCATTAAACCCAGAATGCCTGCCCCGACTACCTCCGTGTTTATGGCACCACACCCACTGCACAAAGTCCCATTCAGGGCCTTCCTGCTGCTTGTTGATTAGAAGTCAGAGCTGCCACCTTCCTGTTCCATCACGTGTCCTGCTGTGTTTTATTTCTAGTCATCACTAGATCTGATCACTTTTTCTCTTCAAACGTTTTCAAGCAAGTCTGTGTCACGTGTCAGCCGTTCCACCCCTAATTAGCACAGCAAACCACAATTTTACTTCCAAAAAGGAAGTCACTAAAATTAACTGAGATGGTGTCAGTTTTCCTGCTTTAGTGGCTGTGAGAACCAAATCTCTATATCCTGACGTGGGCTGATACCGGGGAGGAAGCTCAGACATAGGGATTTGTCACTGCTCTTTCCTTTCAGAGGTGGACCACCAAAACAGGCTGGGAAGGGAGCTGTCGTCTGTAGTGTCTTTCCAGAACATAACCTTTGGCATGAACCTTTCCCATATAAAATCCTCATGGCGATTTGCAGGTTCTTTGCAGTCCTTGGATTTGCAGTTGTATTTCACCCCATTTTGACAACTGCTTTATGCCCCAAACCCAGTCAGGTTGCCACTGCCCTTGCACTGTCTTGGTTTTTCCAAAACACAATGTGTCTTCAGCTACAACTTGCTTTTTGTGTGGCTGGACTCATTCCAGACACTCTAACCACGTTGCCCGAGGTTCAGCCCAGCGGTGGGCAGGGCCCTGCGGCGCGTTCTGTGCTCTGTGCCTGGTACCTCTGTGCTGCTGGTACCAAACCAGCTGCAGCTCCTCCATCCCCACTCGTGCTCTCTGGGGACTTTCCAAACTCTGTGGAACAGCCTGTACTATGTAGGGATGTTCCCTGGGTTTGGAGGAAGTGTTTCTTCACGGTCCTGTGCAGCCGTAGATAGATGTGCTGAGCTGGTAGCACCGAACGTTCCTCTCCCATAATCTGGAGGGCTTGGCTGAGTCAGCAGCCCCGGAATAAGCTTTGGACAAGATTGGTCTTCACTCACTGATGCGGACCTTGTGTGCTCTCATGGGCATTTGAGTATTTTTGGCAGATGTCCTCTCAAATCACAGGGATTTCTTCTTGAATTTCTACATTATCCTGTTCCTGATCCTGTTCCTAGAGCCGCCTGTTCCCAAGTGTCTGTGAAGGAGGAGGCATAACCACTTTCCTCTCTAGACTGGTTTTTGCCAGAAGGGTCCCCTTTTGCACACCTGTAGTTCTTGATTTGAAGTGAAAAAGCCTTTATCCAGTTTCCTGAGCAAGGGTAGTGGCAGTGAGGAGTGCTCACCAGGGGTGTGCTGGAAAGAGGCAGCACAACCTGACACACCTGTGTGCCCGAGGAAATTGTTCCTTTGTGTGTCTGCGGACTGTGGATGTTTGTCTTGTAGAGAAAGTTGTTTCACATTTCTCACTGGTAAGTAGCTTCTTTTAAATATTTTTTTTCAAAATGCTTGCTGCTTTTTAGTTCTCCCATTAAGCCAAACCCAGTTCACATGTCTCTGGGTGTAACGTTTATCCTCTTTTTAAAATATCAAATATATTTATTTAATATTTTCTCATTTTGCCAAGCAAGGCAAATAATTTTTTGCAAATAGGTTGTTGTGTAAGATATTGGCATCAGAAACTTGTGTACTGTTGAAAAAGCCTTTTTTTTTTCAAATGTATTGATGTTACACTAACCCAGATTTCTGTGTGTATTGTGAAATGTGAGAGGAGCAGGGACCTACTGTTTCAGGGTTTTCTCTGCTGTTAAAAGAGGGGTACCTACAAACGCCTATAAATGATGCAATTTCAAGGGGTTTGTGGTGAATTATTGGAGAACATCATAAAGGCAAAACTGTCACTGCCAAATAATCTTAATTCTAGCTTTTTCCCAAATAATGTCATATTGTTTCATATTCAACTACTCCATCCATTGTGCTCACCAGTAACTGCCATTACATCCCCAGTACACCACAAAGTGTGTTTTATGGCTGGGACCTCTGAGAAGTGAGTGCTCAGGGATGAGATGCTCAGTGTGAGGTACCTCCGTGCTCCCATCCCTGCAGAGCAGTCAGGCATGGACAGGGCTGTACTTCTGTGGCTGAAAGCCAAACCAGGCACAAAGCAGGGCTGGCACTGCATGTACTTTCCCACATGGCTTCCTGGTGCTCTTCTACTTCTCATGAACACCCTTTCTTCCTCCTGCTCCGAGTTGATCTTTCTCTGGACTCTGTGCACATTCCAGTTCTTTTGTTGCTCCTGTGCTTCATCTTCAGTCAATTTTTATAGTCAGGATCTCTGCTTTTGTTACTTTTCTGTTACTCTCTGAATCCTCATCAGTGTTCTTCCAGTTTCTTTATCCCAGTCCATCTTTTTCTCACTGTTTTTCTTTATCTCTCACTTGGTTGTTTCTGTCTCTGGCTCCTGGAGATGAGAAGCACCTCTGCTCCATGAAACACACATCAGCTCATCAGTGCAGACTAGGAAAGCACCCGGCCCAGCCAAAGCCCTGTGACCAACCTCCCTCACATCTGTGAGAGGGCAGAGATGGCACACTGGGTATCCTGGACAGTGGCTCTATGCTGGAGCATCGTGGGCCAGTAAAAATTCAAGCAGCATTGTTTACAGCTGCTGTCCAGTTCCCAGATCTTGCCAAAAAGAAATACTATATACCTTCTGTCCAAAACCCCTGAGCTGTAGCTGGTCCTGGCTGTGGCCAGGGAGAAGCAGTCCTGGCTCTGTAGATCATTCCTTCTCTCGTACTAACCATGGCACGACAGGTTCTGTGTGTGGAGCTCACATTTTATTTCACTTCAGATGCGTAAGAAGGGTTCCGTTCGAGGCACTTTGGCTGCGGACGTCTAGAGGAGTTCTCTGTAGGTTCTGAGGCAAAGCAAGCTGTGTAAGTCAACTGCTGGATGGAAAAGGAGAAGAGGGATTAATGTTCTGATGGATGGGAATTGCTGGCAGAAATCATTCTAATAATCCACATAACGTGTGTGGCCTTGCCTTGCTCCTGCTCGATCGTGTTGTGGTGATCAGCAGGTGGGACTGACCCGTGGTGCCCAGGGCACACCACACAGGCACTGCCGCAGGCGCTCAGGCCGGGACAGAATTCCTGCAGCGTTGGCCACCTGCCCTGGTGCCTGGTGCTTACCCAGTGCAGACACCTGAGGTGTGGGGCCTGCTGCCACCGTGGCGATGGCACCGGGCCCTGGCGCCCGCCCCTGTCCTTCTGGGCACCAGTTGGACACGTCGGCATCGCTTTGCTGCATGTACAGGAGCAGAGTGATCTGTGGACTTGGTCCACCTCACTTAGGGAACTTGTGGAGTGTCACCTTCCAACCACTTTCAGTTCTTGCAATCCAGTTCCACCCATTATTTACAGACACTAAACCATTTCTGCAGGAGCAGGTTCTCCAGGAGTTAAAGGCTCTTGGTTCTTATGCCCAGCACTTCAGTGCTGCTGTTCCTCGCAGGGACTGTTGTAACACTGCTGGGAATCCCAGCCCAAGGGTGCAAAATCCCACTGATCCGTGTGAGTTCCCCAGTGACAGGGGCAGCTCCCGCCCCTGGGAGCAGCTCCCACCCAAGGACAGCTCCAAATGAGATTCCCTCCGGGCCGGCATTGCTTTGGTGTGACTTGCTCAGTCCCGGTGGTGTTCTGACAGCCCTGCCCTGGCTTTCCCTGGAGATAATTTCCCTGCCTGTTTGGAATTCTCTGTCTGAGGAAGGTGGTAATGCGGAATTTGTGTTTTCTCTCTCCACAGCTGCGTAACCAAGGCCAAGTGAGAGGAACGAGCGCTGCCAATGACGAGTGACGACGGACGGATGCCGAAGCCAGATCTCGGATGTGTGTGTGGGTGCATGACTCTGTATATAACTATACACGCACATGCAGACGGAAGGGGTGGTTACAAGTGTCTCCGGGTGCTATACCTGTCCTAGCAAAGATTCCAAGGAAACTGCTTTCATTATGTATACCCCAAGCAAATAAAAATCAACTGAGTAGTGTCATTTAAAGGATGAATTTTGCTAACTGGTATGTTCATGAATGTCAATACTGGACCAATTTCTGCCCTACTTGTTTTTTTTTCTCCTGTCCGAGTCATTCTGCTCTAACTCACCCATCTTTCATTGTAAAGAAACACTCAAACAAGTTAATTTCGGTTTTATGTCTTCCCTATGTGATGAGTTTTGGAATAGGAACAATGAATGTATTTATAGCTATTTATTTCTGGATTGTCATTATCCTATAGTCAAATCAGAAGAAAATTTCTATTAGTGGAAATTGGAAGACTTTTACTGTTGAATAAGTTTAACCCAAACGTTACCCACTCACTGATTTAAAAGAAAAAAACCCTTGTTTTATTGGACTTTTGTACATTGAAATGCTAATGGTTTTTCTTCATTAAAATTGGCAAGATTAAGGAAAAATGGTTTGTGATTTATAAAGTAATTGCAACTTGAAATTTTTCAGAAGCTGCTTTTTAGACAAGTATGCTGACAGTACCTGTAGAGCATTTCCAGTGTATCTCAGGCCGGGCAGTGAGGAGGGGGACAGCCCTTCTCTCCAGGAACACTCCTGCCTGGGCAGTGGCTGTTTTCCAGAGCTTCCCCTTTGGAAACCGTGCATATGGTCTGGATTTCACACACAGCAATGGAATATAATTATGATTTTAGCTCTTTTCATGTTGAAAATACACTTTGGGAGATGTAGACTTTCAGATATGCTGAAAGTTTCAATTGTAGCCCTGATGTGTTTTCATGCTGTCTTGGAGAGCCCCTGGGGTGACAAATCCCTCCTGTAGGAAACTCCATAGGGAAAAGGTCTTCAGCATGTTTAAGAAACTATACTACTACAGCATATAACAGAGGGATATTATCCAAATGCTTGCTGGATTGGAGACAAAGTATTTTAAAAGCACTAGTCAGATAAAGTTCTATTAATGCCTGGTTTCCTCCCAGCATCCTCGGCAGGGCCAGCCTTGCCTGTGCTCCCATCCTCGGATCCTCACACACAGCCAGGTGCCTTGGAGCCATTTTGGAAATGCATTGCTCGCAAAAGGATCTGATTTCTGTTACTCTCAGTGACAAAATGTTCCTGCACTGGCAAGGTGGGCCAGGTGGGCTGTGCACCTTGTCCTGGTGCTGCACGAGCCAGCACCGCAGCGCCTGCCCTGCGCTGGTGCCTCACCTGCACCGTCACACCCGCCCGCCCTCCAGGCCCCACAGCGTGATGTGTTTTTGTTCCTTTCTGGGTTAGCACTTAAGTGGTTATTTGTCCTGTACCACCAGGAGGTTGGGTTGGTAAATACACGCAGAGATATGGCACACACACACACACACACACACACAGGTCATACATGTGAAGTGCACACTTCCCAAGAGGGCTGCACACCTGGAACCCAAGGGCTCAGATCTCCTCGGTGCTGGAGTTCGTGTCCTACCGTCGTTAATGTGTTGTAACGCAGCTGGTGGGAAAGGGACCCTCTGACTTCCACGGATTTGGACTAGTTGTGAAAATTTGAGAGAATATTGTAGTGAATGTACAATGTTTAGTTTCCTTTTGGCAGTCTCTGGTGTGACTCACAGTAAAGCAGGCAATGAAATTTAATTAAATAAATTTGATCATAAAAAGCTCCGTCTCTTGGCTCAGGCAATGGCACTCGCAGTTTGCTCCCGAGCTGGTGTCTGGGGTCCCTGAGCTGTGCAGAGGGGTGGGAGTGCCCAAAGGCTGCACTGGTGGCTGCTCAGACTGAGTTTGGTTTGGGAGTTGCAGCTGAGCAGTGCTCGTGACTGGAACCTTGACACTCCCGAGTGCCACCGTAACCTGCTGGGCTGGCAGAGGTGGGGCGGGACAGCAGGAGGGGGCTGTAGGTGGGAGGTGCCTCCCACGGGGCACTGTGGGTGCTGATGGGGGTCTGGGTGTCCCTCCCTGGCTGGTCCCATTCCTGCACTCTGCTCAGCACAGCCGAGCTCCGCTCTGGAGTTCTGCCTGCTCAGGTTTTGCGATCACCTGCTGCAAATGGAGACTTTTACGGCTCCTTTGGTAAATGCAGAATTGAATCCTTTCTTTACTACCAGCTTCTTCAGCTTCCAGATGGCAAACCAACAGGAAGCAATGGAAGTGCAACGTAGTTTTGTTATAATGGATATGTAAACGTGATACTTATTCACTGCAATAGACTGCTGTGAACCATATTCCAGCAGTAACCTTTGAAATCCATCACTTGACTGCACACAAGTGTGGTCTAAAAGGGACTTGTAAGGAATTTTCTTTTTTTTTCTTGAGGATTTTTAATCACTGAAAAGAAAGAGGAATGTTTTCTGTCTTTTGCCTTTATCTGTAGACTGAGAAATGTCAGGACAAAGTCTCTCAAGATTTGGGTGTGTTGGGGTTTTCCCACCCTAGGGCCTTTCTAAGTGCTCTCTGAGCAATCTGAAAATGTCCCATAACACAACTCACTCTGAATTTTCAAACCTCAGTCAATTCAGCCATGCTTAGGAGCTATATCATGTACTTGCAAGTGTGGTGCTGTGCTTTTATGACAAATCTGAAGCTTGGGGCTGTGGCTGGGGTTTTCATTCATTCATGCAATTCAAGAGTCTTCTCCATGGAACTATGTCTTGATAGAGACATCAAGAAAATATTTCCTTTGTAGTTTTGTAACTTTGTATGAAAGACTTCCAACTTGCTTGAATTGATGTGGAAAATGGATTTTAATCAACAGTATCTAATTGTCAATCAAGCAGAGATTATCCAGAGGCTGATGGCTGCTGTCCCTATCACTGGGGTGTTTGGTCAGTTGGGACATTTTATTCTTGGGAGCCTCTTCTCCTTGTTACCTGCTGTGGGCAGAATTCAGTGTGCAAATTCTACCACAAAGTTCTGGCACTTGCAATAGTTTAAAATATTATAATGTATAAATTATTATACATTAAATATATATATAAATTATAATATACCTCCAGGTTTTGAAGGCAGATTTTCAATGACTTCCACCTGAGGCATCACCTGCATGTGATTTGAGTGAAATTCTGATAGTCCAGGGAGCCTGTGGCTGTTTGAGGTCCTAGCCTCTTGCAGTAGAGCTGGGATATTTGCTGGTGTGAGGGGCTGTGGTTTGTTTTGCAATGCACCTGCTGAGAGTCTGGAGGTATTTTTGCCACTGTCTTGTGCCTTTTTCTGCTAGTACTTGTTCTGATACTTTTCCTTGTAGTCACTTTGTTTTGGTGTTCTTTACCCCACTTTTGCTAGATATGCTGTATTTTTTCAAAACCTCTCAGCAGGCACCAGCTCAGTCCTGGATGTGTTGCTGTTACCCCTTAGGGCCAGTATCTGCTCTCTGTGCTTCAGAACAGCCTTGGATTTCCCACTGCTGGAAGTGCGGAAAGGTCTAATTTAATTTTAAAACTTTATTTCCTCAGGTTGGAGACATGTTTCTTTCCAAAATGCCACCTACCTTGATTCTTTAACTTTTCTCTGTGAATTTACATGCCTTTCTGGTTTAAAACTGCATATCCAAAACACACAAGAAATTCAAGGTATTTGTTCAATCTGAACTTTGTAGAGCTTCTCCAATCCCAGCTAAAATCTCGATATGCTAATTTAACAGATTTCCTAGTTTCATGAGCTTGGGTTTAGCACCCTCTGGAACAGCACCTAATGCTGTTGCTCCTTTTGCAAGAGTCTCTGTCTCCCTTGTTTCTCACAGATACTCAGTCTAAGGTAAATTAAGGGAATGTGATTATCAGGACTTTGAAAGACCCAGTAGTTACCAGCTAAAATGTACCGTAAAAAGAACCCAGCTACGACAACAAGGGGAGTCCCTGAAAAAGGCTGGAAGCAAAATGACCATAATTGAAATCTGAAAGCAGCAACTTCATACAGAAGTAAACGAAGAGGCGGCTCTTTGTAAATAATGATCTAAAAAGTGTTCTGGGTTGTGAGACCTCATTTCAAATGTATTCATTAAATAATATTTGAATCATTTAACAGTTTGAACTCTACTGCACTGCTAATATCTTCAGGGGATTTTTTTTCAGTAACAAAGACGCCTTTGTTCCCCGCTCAGTGCTTGGGCTGTGCCTTGGATATTAGTTGGAAACCTGATCGCCCGACATCGCTCCGAGGCTGCGAGTACAATGTGAGTCGTCTGCAACCGGGATTAAATCAGGCCCTTTGTAGGGATGCTGAGGGGCCGTGATGATGGTTATGGACAGCAGGAGGTCGTTAACCCTTTGTGCCTCCGGCGGGGAGACGGGAGGTTTGGGGGAGGCTGTCAGCGAGGTGCAGGGGCAGCTGGGGCGGTTGTGTGTACCAGCAAATAGTGTCCGAGTGATTCCTGCTGGAAAGCAAATAATGCCTTACGTGGGGTGGGTGAAATCGTATTGCCTGACCCGGCGCTTGCTGCCTTGGGATGCCACTTCACCACAGTGTGTGGGCAGGGGCACTTTGGTTTAAATTGGAAAAGTCAGGACTGTGAGCAAAGGTGCACCCAGCAGCTCCAGCACTGTCCTGCTCTGCCAGGGCAGGCAGGCGCTGTCCTGCCAGTGAGGGAAGGGGAAGATGGGACCACAGTGTGTGGAGTCCCAGGGGACGACAGGATGGAGAAGGAAGCACCAAGGCAAGTGCTCTCATGAAGCTAATGCTTAGGGGAAATTAAATCATCAGGACTTTATAAAATAGCCTCTGGCTCTCTGCTTTCATAGTAGTTCAATTTATAAGATGATGAAAAATGAATTAACTTTGGTGGTTTGCTGGCATCACCCACAGTGAGCCAGACTTTCCACATGCTCAGAGATCTTTCCTGCTCCACCACGCTTACATAAATTACCACCTGGTTCAATTTTAAAAAAACAGCAGAACAAAGTTGGTCATACAAACTCCACCATAAAACACCAAGAAGAGTTAAACACCGATTAGTGGTACAGAGAGGTGCCATTTCTCATTTATGCTTCACTGAGCTATTTTAGGAAACGTAAAATTTTACTGTTCCTGTAACCAAACTAATTCTGTTGCGCTGTGTATATAAAATGTCTTTTTTTCCCTTTCCCCTCCCCAGCGTGATCCTATGATATGTGTTTTTTGAGATGGGAATTTGAAGGGGAAAAATAAAAGCCCAAAGCAGTGCACTGCAGTGCAGCCCAGTTATCATGAATGGGGAAAATTGCCTTAGGGTTTTCCCTGTTTTTACCAAGGTACAATCTCAGTGTTGTATGAGTCCCATGTGCTGCAAAAGTTTTCACCTAAGTGGCATAAATGGGATACAATATACTTAATTGGTGAAAAAAGCTCTTTGCAGCAATTGAAAAACCTACTGATAATTGTGAAAACATCACGATCCATACTGAGGGACCTGAAAATCGAAACAGGAAAGATATACAGCTACAGATTGCAGTGGTGTAAAGAAACTAAACCAGCTGACCAACCT